CCATAACCTTAGGATCTTTGACTTTGCTTATTTATGCTTAGATAAATGTAAATCATTAAAATGCACAGCCACATTACTTCATATGGGTTAACAAAGTATGAAACCATCTAGTAAATTCATGATTCATGGCAGTACTTGTAAAAAACAGCATGTCCACTTCTAACCAGGGTGCAATATATTTGAAAGCCACAGTGTACGTTGCAGAGGTTTTTTTAACATAAATAGTCTACTTTTCAGATGTGCCGTGCAACTGCAACTACTATAAAAACTGATGGGTCTCACAATGAAGTAATGTAGTGCTACTCATTTACATTTATTGTGAGGGCATGTATGCTTCAAACTATGTTCACAGCAAACTTTCCATGTAACACCAAACTGCCTCACACTTTCTGGTGAGCTTAAAAGGTAACCAGACAAGCATCTTTACACTGATAATATGTTACTGAAGTACCTGAGGGCAGGGCAACCAGCTTGACTAGTGCTGGCCCCAGTGAAGTGGGTACTGCAGGCAGTTTTTTGAGCATATCCTTTGCCAGAGGTTATTGCCCTTGCTAGCAAAAAGCTTTTTCTGTCTTTTGCTCTTCCTTTTTTTTTTTTTCCCCTTTTTTTTTTCTCCTTCCTTTTCCTCTTTTCCTTTCTCCATCATTTCACTCAATTGGGTTAAAAAGCAGACAAACAGTGAAAATGACAGGGCTAAGCCAGAAATAACCTTCAGCGGGGCTGCCAAGTGAGATAGGCACATCCAACAGGGAGCAGTAAATATTTCCACCCGGATGACAGTGATGATGAGCAGGTTAGTGTCTCTAGCTGTGCCTCACGCCCCAGTGAACTCCAAGAGTCAGGCACATTCAGGAAGGATGAGTGCAGTGAGGATGGGCAGGGGTACAGGAAGGCTCTCTTACAGAAGGAGGCTCAGGTCTGATAATGTGCAGAAAATAAAGACAACAAGGTAAGAGGGTGGTTCTTCATTAGTACACCAGGAGTGAAAACCAGAAAAAACGGTCACTTAAGGTACAGCACAAGACTTGCTTAAAAACAAGTGGGTATAAAATTCCTGTGAGTCAGTTCAGGTTAGGAATGAGGCAGAGGTTTCTAAAGAGCAAAGCAAGTGAGGCTCTGTAGAGCCTTTCAGCAGTCACTCTGGCTGCAGCTGCCATCCAAGTGTTCAGCCTAATGTTTGTGGGAAAGCAATATCGTGGCTGGCCACCTCTCAGTCTGCCACTCTCATCCTCTGTGTGCCCCCCTGGCACATCCCCATCGCAGCAGCTCACAGAGGGGCACGGCTGCCATGCAGGGAAGAGGGCCAGGAGCAGCAGCAAGGCATTTGCTTCCAGAATGTCAACTGAGGGATGAAATCACCACTGACTGTGGAACGTGCACGTGGGAAAAATGGTAAGGAGCCAGAGCCAGAGGATGACACCAGAAGGGAAGAGGCTGGTGTGAGGGAGAGGTAGGCTTTGTTCTGATGTTCTAATCAAGGCTTAGCTGTGTGTTACTAAGCAGACATGATTCGATGTTAGGGCTATTTAGACATCGGGGATAATAAGGCCAGCCAAGTTCAGATTTTGAATGTGAAGAAGGAAGCCATGCAAAGTGCTGCGGAGTTACAATTTATTTTCTCTGAAACATTTGCAAATGATATTTTTCCTGGGGCTCAATAACCTTTTGCAGGGCCAGGATGGCAATGATCAACTGAGAAAAATAAACATTCTAACCCAGAACAGCATCACCAGCTCTGTAACCACAAAAAATAATTTGCTTAGCACTTCAAACTCGGTAAAACACAAAATCTCAGAGGTCATCTGCACCTGAAAGCTCTTTAGATTAAAGCAGTGCAAGAATTTACACTCCCCAGGCTCTGCTTGAACACTTGAAGTATAGTTGACTTTTAGTCCAAGCAAGACAGGTTTTTGCAACTTAACATATTTTCAAAGTGGGGAGTGTCCACACAGAAAATGTTCCTCTGCAATAACTGCCCACACAGGCCAGCCCTAGCAGTTAACACTGGAAGCAGGCATTTTCAGCACTCGAGCACAGAGCCCACCTACATTCACTCACTCACTCACTCACTCACTCACATGCAGGTGAATGTTTCGTGGGGTTGCTTATGCACATGTCAAAATATTTACAGGACTGGAGCCCTGATTTGTAGAAAGGGATGTGTGCTGTGGCCTCGAGTACCACCTCAAAGAAAAATACTAATGCCTGGACTGGGCTAGTGTATGCCACCATCCCTCCCATCCCCCGGATACATTTGTCTCTCTCCCACTCCCAGATAACGCACACGTGTTCAGTCATACACAAACCCTAGGACACCCCTTCCCCCCATGGAAAAGTCAGCCAGCTGTTACAAAATTCAGACCTTTCATTAACACAGTTTACTGGCTGATACTGCCAAGCAAAACAGAGACAACTAATAATAATCAGGACTGAAGGATCTGAGACAGCTTATGAGTAAAGGATTGTATTAGTTGTTTAAAAAGGACAAACTTGCTCCTGCCTGGAGTGATAGGGAACAAAGGGCGGTGATGTATAGCCAGGGAGGAAAGAGACTCTCTCCGTGGCTTTTGTAGATTACTGTGTGAATGACAGGAGAGGCAGGAGCAAATACCTCTTTTCATTTGCTCAGCCTGCTGGAGAAGAATAGCAGCGCTTGCCAATGAAGCTGCAGCTGTGCTTCAGCGCCGTTTAATCACTGTGTATGACTGAGGGTTAATTAGCTGCCATTCTTACTCCTATTTGTTGTTCTAATGAAGATTTGCATAAATGTAAGGGTAGGGGGTAACTGATACTTGATTCTTCGCTTCAGAAGCCAGGGTGGAAGACTCGCCCATCCTATGTGTTTATGTTTGTGGGAGATTCAATGTTGCCTTTCCATTTGACCTGATTTGCTTCTGGCTGATGAATGGTGAAAAAAAGAGTACAAAGTTGCTTATCAAATCGAGACCCCTGTTGTGTTTCTGCCTTTAGAAAGGGGCAGACTAGTTAGATTAAAAAAGGGATTAGAAAATTACACCCAGCTGACAGAGAGGAAAAAATAGATATGCGTGTTTCTGCAGCTACTTATGTGTATATATTTGTGACATATTTCAGTGATATATGTATCAATAACATGTCTTTCTATCCATCCATCCATCAATCCATCTGATGGCAAGTAACCAATAATTTTTTAATGATATAATATCACAAAAAATAGTGGGACAGACAGTACAACTGCAACATATTAGGCAATATGACAAAAAGTAAAGACTTGTGAATTTCTGCAAGCCTTCTGTTGTGCATCACTAAGTTCGAAGTTCACTTTTAAATAAAAAGAATATCTAACATAAAACAGGCGGTTTCCAAGGAAGGTGAAAATTACTCAGCACTTCAAAAATACTTGCCATCAGTGCCTTGTAAGACTGGGATACAAACTAAGAAATTGTGTTGATTCATCAAAAAAAAGGTAAATTTTACCATGAAGCAGTGACAAAATCCAAAACTACTTCATAATTAAAGAGAAGACTTGAAAATGAAACATAATAATTTTTTTTTGTTTACTGTGGTCAGGGCAATTTATGGCTGCTAACTGGAAGAGGTTAAGTGGAAGAACTTCCCATTTTTGGTATGCTAACTTGTTGCACATGATAATACGGTATGGATAACTGTTTTCAGTATTCCTCTTACACACTTATATTAAAACTGTTGTTTGACAGCATCTGTAAGGGTTTAAGATTGAGAAGGCGGAAGAAGTGAATTTCTAAATTTGAAATCACTGCTGGGAACTGTCCAGCTTTCAAGATGACTGTATCCCTCCAAAGGGAGTTGGCCACAAGACAGCATGTGTTTCCTGCCCCTTTCTCAATCCCTACACAGCTTTGTGGTGTCTCTACCTCTTTACCTGGTCTCTAAGACACAAGAGCAAATATTAATTTGGTTTTTATACACTTCTGTCAACTATCTGCCTATCTACAGACACCTCTGCATATTTTTGGCCAAACACTAACAGAAATCAATCTTTCAGAGAGGTTAGCAGAGAGCATTCAATCCACCTGAAAGAAATGTGCCTAAAATGTGCCTAACACTCCATCACTCCACCTCTTAGCTGAAAGGAACACCACAGGTTTCAATGCTCTATACAGCAACAAACCCACATGAAAATAAAAGCAGGCAATCACATTTTTGCCTGCTCTCACCTTCTTTTGAGTTTTGAAATATTTCAGTATTCTATTACAGCTTTTGATTCCGCCCCTGATTATGCCAGAATCTCACATTCTGCCTTTTTCAAAGCAATTTCTAGGCCTTTGGGCAAATTAAAAATAACATTGAAGTGTATCATAAAAAACAAACCAGCAACAACCCTCGTGACATATAAACACATAATTTTTCTTCAATGACTCTTTAGTCATTTCTACATATTACAGTTTTCCAAGGCTACAGTCAGAATTATGCATTGGTAAATAGGGTAAGAGAAAGTGGAAATTACAGATCTAGTGGTCAAAGGCATAAAACAAATCTAAAAGAGCTGAGGGGAGAGGTTAAGTGCTACGCTAGTTAATAAGAATGACAGCTTGCTTTGAATACTCATGCTGACTGTCCAAGATATTGAATAAACCTCATTTAAAGTAATTTTCATTATTTGTGGAGTCTGAGCTAGGCATCTATCATTGTCAGTGCTATTAATATTCTTTTCAGAGACCACATTATCAGCATATTTAAATGAAAGCTTTCCTTTTCAATATTTATTAACTCATTAATATTTCTTGGTGGTAATATCCTGGTTGTAATATCCAAATTAGTTCATACTAAGGTATTTTCTACTGATCAAACCTTCTGAATGAAAAAAAAACCTAAATGAAAAATGCACTTGAGCTTCTGAAATTCTGCTTTCTTTTTATACTATTTATATGAATGACATTTAAAATTTACATTTTTGTTTATTTTCAGTAGTTACCAGTAAACCAGAGCACTGAGCAGGTATTAGTGAGCTGACCAAGGACACAAAAGTTAATTCGTCTTACCTGGGTTACAGTCTGTGAGGAGGGAGCAGATGGAGAGGAGAACTTTAGAAATGGTTAACGCTGGACTCCAGTTGTCTTTTAAAATGTCCAGGCAGATGACGCCTTGGCTGTTAATGTTACAGTGGTAGATCCTTGTCCGGAACGTTACCTGGAAAGGACAGTGTGTCTCAGTACAACAGCGCTCGAGCCAGTAATTAATAACTATAATTACACATTATTAAGCAATGAAAAATCGTATGAACAAACATTCTGCTTTCCAGGCTGAAATGACAGTACTCTGCTACTAAAGACTGGGCAAGACAAAATAAAGGAAATAAACTCTGCCTCTTGGGTCTGTGGCCAGCAGTGAAACCGGTTTGTGTCGGCTGAGAATGGGACACATTTCCTGAGCTTCCTCCTGCCTTGGTCTTATCAATCTCATCATTTTGTACACCACCAAAAAAAAAGCTATTCCAGCCCATGATTTGGACAATGTTCATAACTCAAATCCACAGCTCTCCCACACTTTGAGGGAAGTCAGAACAAGACAGATTTTTCTGCTGTCTTCATCTGTTCATCATTTGACACAATAGATTAAGTTGTAAAAAAAAATGCAGAGGCATCACAGCAGTGACTCCTGAAAAAATTGAAGTGAAATACTTTTGAGAAAGGCTGCTCAAATAAAACACTTTTATTTCCAAATTTTAGATTACATTTTTATCAGTAGAATTGTTTACAAACACCTTTTGGGGCTTTTTAGCAGTTTATTTTTATGATTTCTGTATCTATTTTATATATGAAATTTTATTTTGTATTTTATTTATATATATGGTCCTCCAGGTGATCCTATAGGTAACAAACCAAGGAGATTATTTTAGCCCAGAATAATGTCTTCCTTCTTCAAGGTGAAATCACAAGCTTTTTATTTTAAAAGAGTCTCAGCTATGAAAGCTCACTTCATAGTTCAGAATGAATACTGGGGCTCCTGGATAAGAAGGGACAATGTGAAAAAAACCCCACCTCTTGGAGGTCATCGAGGACTAATTTCTCCATCAGTTCTATCCAAATGGCAAGTCAAACCCAGATGGTTTCAACAACATGTTCATGAAATATAAAATTAAGACGTAGAATTTCAGACATCTGCCTCACCAGCAACAGCCCTGCCAAGAGAGGGGCTGGGCAGGCAGGAGACAACAGCAGGCAAAGAAGCTGTGCTCTTCACTCCCCTTGGGCAGTGCTAATGTAAGCTGGGAGTGCTTAAAACCCAGCCCTGCCCTACCACAGATAAACCCATGTCTGGAGAGGAATACAGACTGGTGACAGGCGTGCTCCTCTCCTGGTTTCCTTCAGTTCCAGAGATCTCCGTGATCTGAGCGGGATTATCAGGCTGCTCAGCAAGCAGAAGAGAATGCAAGTGAAATAATACAGTACCTGGTTTACTTCTATGAAAAATAATTATAGGAGTCATTCTCTAGCACACTGAAAAATTCTGTCCCTCTGGATTAAATCAAGAAGCTTTGACAAAATAATGGAAAGAGAAGATAGTAGATTTATGGTATTAAAACATTGCATTCAAAAAGAAATACTTTTTCTTGTAAGTACTTTTCCACAAAAATCTGGAAAAATGCTTTGGAGTCCTTTGTCATGCACCAGTGAGTTCTGTACCAAAGAACCCTACTAAGCTAGTTCATCAGTTTTTAAATGCTTCTATATCTAAAGGTATTGCTAGTTAATAGCCTAATTTGACAGTTTGCCACTCTATACCCTACATATTTGTAGATTCCTTCATTTTTCCCCTTCGCTTGTGGTTTTGCTTATTGTTTCCAGCCTAAGTGCTTCACTTTTGGGACTTCAGAGAGAATTAAATATATTTCTGGCACTATGATCTCAAATGCTATAGCCATATGATCTATTTTCTCCTGCTCATTAAAAGCCCAAGCACATTCAACATTTGGAAGTCTTCTGTGAGATTAAAAAAAAAATAAATAAAATTAAATAATTATAATTTGGTGATAAAATTAAATGTCTGTTTACAAAGGGAAGCTATTTCAAACAAGGAAGTTTACCAATGCACAAAAGCCATAAACTATTTTACACAAACTGCACATCAAAAGTGCTCAGAAAAGGAGATGGTGTGGAGGAGCACCCTGCGAATTGTAGGTGTTCATTAATTCCTCAGGCGCATTAACTCCAATAACTCTTATACTCCAGTTAGAAGCGACTAATCAGTGACTGCTTCCTAGCAGGATGTCCCAGAACTCAGGCAGACACCTGCCTAATTTTAAGTATTGTATGCTAACTTTTCAGTGCACTATTGAAATAAAGCTTATGCTTAAGTATTTTACCTCAATAAAGGCGCTTCCCTATACTTCCACAATGAAAAAATTTGAGGATTTCATTCAGTGGCATCTAAATACACTGAGTAGTAAGATATGTGTGGTCTCACTGAATGTGGGGGAAACACTGAATCCATTGCAGAGATTAAATTAGACCCTCTAAAATATTTATAGACAGGTCAGTCTCAGCTTGTAACCTGCTTCAGAGGAGGTCATCAATCTGACTGTGTATTTTAAGTGTAACTGTTTTGCTGCCAGCAGACAGGAAAGACACTGCCACACGTTCCCCTGCCTCAGCTGCTTCTGAAGCGCTGAAATAAGGACACTGGGAATTTGGCAGGACCCAAAGGCACTGAGATGAACGGAGGTCGTTCATGTCTTTCACGAACTGTTCAACGCTCTATTGCCACCTCAGCCTACCTGGTGGATAAATGTATCTGGGACTACACCTCTTTGCAGCTGTTTTTAGAAAATGCTTAGACCTGAAATACAGCATTTTTTCACTATAAGTACATATTAAACCTGTGACATTGAGAAAGGCAAGATAAGACTCGCTGCTTACCACTGACAATATCACCAACTCACCAAATAACGCCAGTGCACTTAAAAATGCCTACGACAGAGGCATTTTAACTATTTAAATAATCAACGTATTAGTTATTTTCTAGTGACAATACATTATGTTTTATTAACTAATTTTAATATTGGAAGATCAATTAATTAATGAAAAGAATCACAGTGTTTAGAATTGCAGAAGAAGCTTAATACGCTGGAAACTGTGGCCTGAAGGTGGCAGGTAACAGAGTTCTTACTCCAAGACAGCAGAGTACAAATGGGATGACACAATGCTTTACTCATCCATGTATTGCCTCAAATTGCTGATAATGTGGGAAGTGCTGACATGCAACTTTCTGCATGTTGTGCTTATCCTACCTACATCATAAGGTTAAGCAGGGTCCTCCTATTATATGTGTAAAGAGAAACCATGTGTTAATACCTTTCCAGAAGAACTGCATTTTCTTTATTATGGTCATATTTTTACCTTTGATGTCACTTAAATGTTTCCTTTAAATGGTAACCTCGAATTCCATTTATCCCCTAATGAAAACACCTAAACAATCCCATGCAGGGGCTCAAAGGAGTGTGTGGGTGTACAGGCAAATTGACCTTCAGACAATTAAATGGCAGAGGAGCAATTTATGGGTTTTCTTGAATAATAAGTGCTCTCTATGGATTTATTCTCTTTCATTCTGGAATTTAAGGAGCGTACCTAATTTCTGTTGAATAAAAGTATAAGTCAGGAAAATGCAAATTATGGGAAATAGGGAAAATGTGACTACCTTCTGAAATCTGTGAGTACTACAAACAAACTTCCAAAAGATAATGATAAGGAATTTATATTCAATCAGTTTTGGAAATAAACAATAATGAACTCATCTGTTATCTACTGCTGAATGCCAAACATGCAAAACTATGGCTGGCTGTTCACTGAGTAAGTTTTAGGACTGAAAAAAGACTGTTTATAACACCTGGGTAGAGGAAACTAAAATGGATTTCAGTTGAGTGATTGGAGGCAACTGGTTGAAGGCAAGATAAGTAATTTCTGGATCTCAGAGTGATTTTGAAGTTTTCTAGCATGATATAGTCTTAAAATAACTTACTATCTCTCTTTTGCATGAAGGTCTAAATACAACAGTCACCATGGTGCCTGGTACACCATCACACACACTTTCAGACTTCACTGAATTCAGTTGAAATCTTCTTCAGAAACGTATCAGGAGGAAGAAATGATTCACCACTTTTACAGATTACATGCCAGGAGTTACAGTGTGCCCTCAAGGTTTGCTTTCATCAGACTTTTTGGGTTTAAACCCTCACCTCCTGCTTCTCAGTCACTGGAGCCTGGTGACTGAGCAGGGAGAGAGGGAAGATTCCCAGAGCCATCAGGAGAATAAACAAAAACAACCTCCTTTTGCTCAGCTAACACTGGAAGCAGAGCTGAGATCCCAGGGCTCTCATTCCCACGATTTTGGAAGGTTCCTTTTAAAACCTTTCATTTCTTACAAGGATGGAATCCTTCAAGCCTGCCTGAGATGAAATTTCTGTCTTCCTCAAATATTCCCCAGGAGTTCTGCTTTAATAAAACTGCAGTGGCACTACCTGAAGTGGAAGAAGTTGTACTGCATACAGAAAAGGTTACATATATATATCTATATATATATATATATATATAAATAAATAAATAAATAAATAAATAAGATGCCATCTATGATGATATTTATAGAGCTCAGGACAGAATAAGTCATTCCCATCTCAGTTTGTTAGACTTTATGAGCAATACTTTTGTCCACTCAGAGAAAATTAAAACAAGATTGGGCCTACACTCTTCAGTCATATGAGAAAAATACTCTAAAACAATCTAAATGAAAAATGTATATAGCTCTGAATGACACAGCGTTCATTCAATAACCTTTAGATTAATTAGCACCCTTTGATTTCTTACAGAGTGCACTTAATTTACTTATGATCACTGAGGCTCCCTTTTCAAGACAGGGCGGACTATTTCCAGTTTGCTAGTACAGATTTGTACCATGCACTTGAAAAATTGTTGAGATATTTAATGACTTATCACAAAAAGTGTGTAAAAAATGACTGGCCATATGATGCTTACTATTTAAGAATACATTTTAAGTTTATACCAAGAAATGAACTTCATCCAGTTCTCAAAACACTTGATTACATCTAATTTTACTTGGAAAAAAACAGATATAATTTATTTTATTGAAGGAAAATATATGGTATCTGCATTAGCAGGAAATAATAAACTGTAATT